ATATATATATATATACACACACACACACATATATAAATATACACACATACATGTATATAATTAATAAATATACACACACACACAATTTTGTACCTATTTTAGCTAAAAAATTATTACAAATCCAAAATAATCGATTTGAATCAAACTGAATCATGTTGAATCATTTAGTAAGAAATCACAATCAAATCTTTGCCAAAGCAGCTATTTACATACCTAATGGGAAATATATTTTGTCTCCTCTCATAAGTGAAATATGTCATTTTTACAGATCACCTGGCCGTTTGCCTTACCAGATGCTGGAGGGTCGTTCAGCAACTCCTAAAGACATTTGGGAATATGAGGGAGGCCATCATTTCTCAGAACTGGACTGAGACACATGTTAAACACATCCTCTCTCCCCTTCCTCAGCAGATGAAAGGAGACGATGAGTGAGGATTTGCTGAAAAGCTTGATAACTGAACCTCTGATGCATTACTATCAGCTACACCAGAAAGGAAGAATCAGATGTAATTCAGTGTAATCATAGTATCTGAACGTGTGTGTGTGTGTGTCCTCGCACTTACCTCTGATGAAACTGTGTGAAGTGTGTGTGGGGTGATGTAAATGCATAGATCCTTTATATTGTCTCTTTTAGTAGTTTTTGCATTGGAATATCAGCTCTATCATTGGAATATCAGTCTCTTTTGCTTTGTATAATTTGAAATTCAAGTTAATAGTAATCTGAAGACAATGTTAAAATATATTTAATTTTGACTTTAAGACTAATTATTTTGAAAAAGTTAACTTTAATAATTATAAAAGCATCAAATCACATCATTTAGCTCTATCCCATCTAAACACGTTTGTATTGCTCTTTTAATCATAATATTCTTCCGTCCGTCTGCACAAACTAATATCAGCAGTCTCAAACTCCACAGAAGTATGAGCTAATAGCATTTGTTCTGCTTAAACTTTGAATTTTGTATGAGTTGTACAATGTACAGTGAAACTAAACAGTGATACTGTATAGACAAACTAAAATACTTTCAGCTAAGACCAATCACAATTCAGTATGTAAATATTATGATGACATCACTGCTTCCTGTTACATTTTGAATGCTGAATATTGTAACACTTTTCAAACTTTTATCTTAATGTACTTCATCATAATTCAGTGAATGCATCTATGACATCATCACTGTCGGTTGTATTCTGAATGTGTAAACAGTTCCTCAGTGTATGTTAAAGTGATACACTGATTTTAAGATTTAAAGGGATAGTCCACCAAAAAAATGAAAATTCTGTCTTCATTTACTCAGTCTCATGTTGTTCCAAACCTGCATGACTTTTTTGCTCTGGTGGAACACAAAAGAAGAAATACCGAAGAATGTCAGTAACTGAACAGTTTCTGTTCCCATTGTATGGACAAAAAAAAATTTGATTTGGCTATCAACATTCCTCAAAATATCTTCTTTTGTGTTCAGCAGAAGACAGAAATGGTTTGGAACGTGATGATGGTGAGTAAATATTGACAGAATTTTGGGTGGACTGTCCCTTTAAGATTTGAAAGTAATACACTGTAAACATTTTAATCTTTTAAAAATGCACTTCATGTGGTAACATTCAAATTAATTCATTTAATTCAAACTCAAAGTCTAAAATACTACATTAGGTTACACTAACAAGTCATTTTTACGGGTCAGATTAGAAATAGTTCCTTAAGTATTCACTTTTTACACTAAAATCTTGAATTAGCATATTAAGCATATTAAGCTTATTTAATATTAAAGCTTACTTTATCAATATCAACATTAAAATTATGTACAAAACAAGTTTACACCAAGCATTTGGAGCTTAATTAATTGCTAAAAACTGTGGAAAGAACAAAAAAAGAAAAAGTAAATATATGGGATTTGAAGACTGCCCTGCAGTCTGTTTGAGTCCGTGTAAAGGTGTGAGTGTGTGTGTGTGTTGGAGCTCACAGTCCGTGTGTGTATCTGTGGCGTGGAGGGCTGTGTTGGGGTGAAATGGCATTGATGTGATGTCCTACACGTCTCTCCGCCGTCTTCAGGCGCTCTTGCAGCTCCTGGCGCTCCCGTTCTGCACGGCGGGACACTTTTCGGGCCTTCCTCAGAGAATGCCTCAGTTTCCCCACTCGTTCTTTTAACTGTTCGTTCTTCCTCTCCAGCTCGGCCACGCGCTCCTCAAGCTGTCCAACCCGCTCCTCCTCCTCAAACAACACCTTCTGCACTGAGGAACACAGCAGCTGAAAGATAAAACGACAGAAGGTTACTCGTGTGCAGAGATCTGTGCATGTATTGACAACCTGACCCTGTGGAATGAAGGTCAACATACAACATGACATCATTTCCAGTCTCCGTCAGCCTTATTACTTCCTGCTGAGCACTGCCTTTCTTCTCTGGGCCCCTACACATGCCAGTGTGTGTGTGATGGAGGCAGTTCAAAAGTGACCCGCTGTCATGCCCACAGTAGACACAAGCCGAGGCATGCTGTGTGTGTGTGCACATGTGGAGAGTGTGTGATTACATGGCCGTGTCTGTGTGTATTTGAGCAACAGGCCGTATGTTCTCCCTGAACAGTGGAAAGGTCTAAATCCCTATTGTAAAAGGCCAAAGAGTGTCACATGATGTTAAAGGTCACCACATGAGCTAATTGAACAAAAAGTTAAGCACAAATGACATGAAAACGAATGGCCACGAAGGCCAAACATAGCCTGCTCTGCTTTTAGACCCAAACTAGACCCAGATGAGTGTTTATGAGAAAAGAAAATTAGATGATAAAAGAAAGACTGAAGAAGAGAGTTTGGGTAGAATGATAGAATGATAGAACGATAGAATGATAGATAGATAGATAGATAGATGATAGGTTTTGGCCATGCTCTTCAGAATCCAACATGATCTTAGCTGAAAATACATTATGCATTGAGCGTTTGATTTTGTAGAGTTTAATAAAGCATAATGGATGTTTAAGATGGATTATACAAGAAGCAGGGGGTGACATAACTAACAGACACAGTGCCAGCTACAGTCACAAGAGCACAAAGTCCCTCAGGCAGCCTCAAACAATCCTTTTCCCACAGGAAAGCTCCTGTGTAAAACAGCTCTCATTATCTCTCTGAGGTTCCCGGGCCTGATAATCACCCCCACCTGTTCTTGCAGCACACACACCATCATTATCTTTATCTTCTCTCTGCATCTGTCTGTCTCTCTGTGCAGATGTGATTAGTGAAGTGTCCCGGTGTATCTTTTTTGATTTGTAATACTTGAATGAATGTAACAGTATTTTAAAGAAATGTTCAGGGTTCAGAAAAGATGCTGTTAATAGAGCTTAAATGGTTTTGAATCTGAATATCCCTTGTTTGCATCTAGACAGACCGACTGTCACATCTGTTTAGCTTAGTGGACACCTGTTAGAGGAACCCTGCACCTCCTCAGGTCACTGGCTTTAACCTAGACGTGTATAGACGCACACAAAAACACTTCTGACAGCTTTTGATGCATAAACGTTTTCTATAATTGATTTCAATACCTTAAATTCTGAACACATTTTTTCCTTAATTGCGTATACACTTCCAAAATTTGGGGTCAGTAAGATTTTATTTAAATTAATATTTTTGAAATGAATACTTTTATTCAGCAAGAAAGCATTAAATTGATCAGACTTTGACATTGTTGTAAACGTCTTGTGACACTAAAGACTGGAGTAATGGCTGCTAAAAATTCAAATTTGCCATAACAGGAATACATTTTAAATTATATTAAAATTGAAAACAGTCATTTTAATTTTAATAATATTTCCCAATATTACTGCTTTTACTGTATTTTGGTTGGCATAAGAGACTGGGAATTTAAAAATAAGATTGTACGCCATGTACAATCAAGATAATATCTGACTTATTTAATATAATACTTAAAAAAGGTATCTGGACATTCAAATCACTCTGTATGAACGTAACTCTGTTAGATAACAAAATATCAAACCATGTTTCATCTACAAAAAAAAAAAGACAGAAAGAAAGAAAGAAAACTGAAAATTGATTTCCTTAACTTTTTAAAGTTAGTGGATGAAGTCAGTTTCCTTCAAATTTGACAACCTGAAAGTATCCAGATCATTTTTGTCTTCATTTTGAACAGTATATATATTGGTTTTATCATTTAAAACCTGATAAAAAAATCCATTTGACTTTTTTTTCTGAAAGAAATAGAATTTACTTTGAATTTTTTAATTTCTACTGCAATGAAATTCATGCATTGTGGCCAAATGCTTTTTTGTTTGACTGTATACGTTTGTCTGGAAGGAAAGGGAGATTCCCGCTGGTTCACTCCCTGAACTTTTCTCTGTTGGTATATTACGCTCAATAAATCTGAAACAGTGTCATCCCAGCTGATAACTGTTTTTCGGTTAGTTGAAGTGGCTATTAGTCTGTACGTTCAGGCATCTCATTGTGTTTGTCTTAAAATAAACCCCTCCCCTCTGACAGTAGACTGCAGTCCGACTAATGAGCGGTTTTGTGTTTGAATGTACAGCAGGTAAATTTCCTCAAGGCAAATATATCTGACTCCACTTGATACTGTGTGTGTGTGTGTGCTACATCCTCCAAAACCCCTGCCATAACCTCTGAGGACCCCTGACATTCCTCCCATTCTGCCTTGAACCGTCCACATCAAACGCATGATTTATTTTCCTTTCAAAAGCCACCACTGTTTCCCCGAGAGGATGTCCACATGTCCAGCTGACGTCTCCCTCACTCTTTCTCAATCTTCTTTCTATCTCAGCTTTATTTTCGGTGGCAGATGTGTGTGTTTAGGTGAGACAGACTATCCGTGAGTGTGTGTGTGTATGTGTGTAAGGTAGAGCAGCTCTAGCTGGGAGGTCTTTAATCTGGCCTCTATCGAGCCGAATGAACTTTCTTGAATTACCTCAGCCTCCTACCGTGATGAACAGTCACAGTCATCAATACAAAGACCACCAAAGAAAGGGAATTGTGTGTCTAAGTGTGTGCTGTATGAAGGAGCTCCATTTACCCATGAGAACCTGAACATGGTACTTTGGTATTATTCTCACTACCTGTGTTAATCAGATTCCTTGATTCCTTAATACAGCTTCAGTTGTGTTTTCTCCAGACGCTAGTGCAGAACTAGTGGAATGGAAATTGCCTGCTGTTTTACTGTTAAACACAGGTAAACAATAATGCAGTTGTGCATGCAGACACTCCTGTCTTCATAAAAAGCCATTTACGAGACTCATGAATTTACAACTGAGCCGTTTCAAAACACTGAACACTCTCATAACGTCTGCCTGTAACGATGCAAACAAGCTTGCTCAAACACGTATACATGCTGATGTTCACCTTTCGTGGATTTATGCCTTTCGATTTTCTTGTCTTGACAAGATACATCGTTTTCATTTATGTCTGCCACTCTATAGTGCATATTGAGCCCATCTGTGTGTGTTTATTGGTGTCGTACCCTGCTGTCTTCCTGGCTCTCCCAATCACTATTAAAGTTGTGTATCGTCTGTCCATCAGTGCAGTTTGAGAACTGGAAGAGGCTGGAAAACAGTCGTCTGTTCTCCAGCGTGTCAGGGAATATGGCATCCTGGAAGTTAACTCCATGAGGGAGGATGTTGTAGTTTTCATCCATCCTGTAAGAGACATGCACATGTTTGTTTGCATATACTTGTGAGGATGTCTTATTGACTTGATTACTTAAAGGCACAATATGTAAGATTTTTTTATTAAAATATCCAAAAACCACTAGAACAGTGTTATATGTTTTGCTGACTTGTGTACTTACTTACATTATCCCAAATGTTTCGAAGAATGTTTAAATCCAGAGAAATAAGCAATTTTAACTAGTGATACGGACCGTGTCCATAGTGTCATTCTGTCACCTGCCAATGACGTCATAACACCTCGATTTCCGGTTTTGTAGAAAACATGGAAACACCAAAGACGCATTAATATGTTGTGCGTTTTAATAGACTGGTGACGACCGCACAGAGTAGCATTATAACAGAACTTTCAAATGTATCTAGTATGATAAAACAGCGCTGCTTTTTTCCCCCACATACGCACGACCGGAAGGAGTGGAAGCGGACGACTGTGGCATAATAAAAGCGCCGCTGCTTTCGAGCCGTGTGTCACGCTCGTTCAAGCGCCTCGTTTCGCTTCGACGGCTTTCAGCCTCACCCTGCTTCATTCTACTACGTTAATAAATCATTAGCTCATCCATGAACATCCATGAACACGAGTCCCGTCGGATTGCATCGGCTGTGGGGATGAAGATGACAACTACCATGATTCCACACTCAGTCACGGCGTCATCAAACTACGCCTTTGTCTCTTTGTTTATTTTGAATACACACCCTCTAATGGCAAAAATGACATATTGTGCCTTTAAATAAAAAAAAAAAAAATAAAAAAAAAAAATCTAAATTAATTTAAATACTAAAACAAACTTAATGTTTTAAATTAATCTTATAAATCAAAAGTCAATTTAGCAGTTCATTTCAAGTCAGAAATCTAAAAATAACAATAATAATAATTTGTGGTTCAGTATGCGAGTAGAATGATTGAATAAAACCACCCCGATTCTTACGTAGAATCTGTTCGAGTCATGTTTGGGAATCGTACTACATTGTTCCTGCTGTATGTTTCTGTTTAACTAAAAAGAACCGGCTCATAAGAGTCTTAAAGGGGTCATATGATGCTGCTAAAAATAACATTATTTGGTGTATTTGGTGTAATGAAATGTGTTTATGCGGTTTAAGGTTAAAAAAACACATTATTTTCCACATACTGTACATTATTACTGGCTCATAATAAGAGTCATTCGTTTTGGGAATAAGACTTCACCGGTTGCACTCTATGTTTTGATTCACTAAATGGTTCATAAGAGTCATTTAGTAGCGGTGCTGCACTGAATGTTAGTGCAAAAAACAATGCCAAAATATTTAAGGCGCAAGAATACATGTTTGAGAACCTATACGGAATCGTACATCATGGAATTTATTAGATTTCCCCCAATTAAAGTTCAGAAAAAGAACTGGTTCTTGGTTTTTAAACAGAAGTGAACCCACCTGAGAAAGAATATGTAGGAGTTGTTTTCCATCACCGTGTGTGACTGACAGCTAAAGTACCCGAGTCCCGTGAGGTTGAGGAGCGAGCCCGCGGGCACCTCCAGCATGCTGCCCCACGCCTGGTCGCATAGCAACTCCACCTCCGCCGCGTAAAGCAGCGCGTCCTCCGCGCGCTCGTGCTTCTCTGCACTGAATGTTAGTGCAAAAAACAATGCCAAAATATTTAAGGCGCAAGAATAAATGTTTGAGAACCTATACGGAATCGTACATCATGGAATTTATTAGATTTCCCCCAATTAAAGTTCAGGCTGCTCCTCCTTGATCCATCACTCCTAAAGTTCGTCTCAGGCCAATCGGACGCGCTGGAGTTTAAACAGCCAATAGACGCGCTGTGTCCTGCGTCCATCCAGCAGCCTCACTGCTGCGTTCCTGGACGGCATTTGGACTAATTTTCTGTCTTTATTGATTATACAGGGAGAAAACAGATCACTGTTCATGGAATTCATTTTCTAAAAAAAGTGACTTTAGGGAACGTATGGGCTCTTTACTTTTCAGTCATGGACAAGTTTATTTTACTAAACAATATGAAGTAGTTTGTCTCTGTATTGTGTTGCCCATTTAAAATTATTTAAATCAGCCAGGTGCCTTCTTTAACTGGGATACCACTTCTATAATATTTAGATGTGATTTATAACATGTTTGCAAAATGCAGAACAGAATAATTAATAATTCATATAAATAATACAACAAAGAACATCATCCTTTTATTTCATGCTGGTGATATAAGTGTTAAAACTAGTATTTTGAATTTTGATAAGCACAAAGGTTGTAGTTAACAGACTTGAAAAATATATTGTTGTGTTAACTATAACACAACAACATTTTGAACATGCTACAATATATTTTTTCTGGGAAATATCGATGACAGTTCAGTCTCACCTTAATTATTAGGTTACCAGATTATAATTTCTCTGAGAACTATCTTTGAAACTAAAAATATTTAATAAGATTTCCCCACAAGCAGTAAAGCCATTAAAATCATACATGCCACAAGTTTTGAAAGCATGCACATTGTCGTTCAGCTCTATGGCTCCATCTAGTGCATCAACAAAGTCATTATATGATAAGTACCTCAAATTTTTATTATAACGATATTGATTTACTATTGTTGTTGTTATTGCTATATTGAAGCGTTTGTATGCCTGTTACACACTAAAATCGTAAAGGGGGGCACGAAAAGCCCCTCCCTTTGCCCCAGTTCTGGGTGCGACCTCAGCAGGACATGCGCAGGGAAATCCCGGGCCGTCACCGTCAGCTGGTTCAGTGCTGCGCATGGAAGCGTCTTCAGAGACTAGAGCTTTATAGCACCGGATAGACATTTACGTGCATAACGCTTACTGTAAACAGACCAATCCTTCTGGTTCCCGGATCTGTGCGTTCAGAGCGCTGCACTGACGTCTGGATCAGGAAGCGCAGCATTTCCCAAAACAAGTCGGTGAAGCCTACACAAGTGAAAGCTTGGTGAGTATCGCGATGCTCTTAAATGTAGAGAGTTATATAACATTTTATATCTTTAAAAAGTGTCTCCAGATATATTAACATGTTGCGTACTTATGAAACATATTAGGGCGTAGTTTAACGAGTGTCTAGTTAACTTTCGTTTTCTCGTAATATAAATTACGAAACGTACCAGGTAGGATTTTAACAGTCACCATTTAGATTAGCGTTGAATCCCATCAGGAAACTAAAGCAAACCATTGTTTGCCACTCATACATGTGTGTCATCTAGCCTACTTACACTAATCTCATTCAAAATTCATTTGATGCCATACGATAGGTTTGTGTACAGATACAGAAGGAAAGTCATTATCACTTACCTACAACCTTCCAAACCACTGAATCGTTGCCACCAATCAGAACGAGTCCGAGTTTAACTTGATAACCTTTTTAGACCGACTAACGTGAATAAATTCAGGTTTAGTGATTTGAATCAACTCGAATTTTCGTTTTTTGTTCAACTATTTGCATCTTGAACATACTAGCACTAGCACATTTTTGGTTCACTCTTAGTTTCACTTTTATTTCTGTGCTGATAATTGCATATTTGAGCATAAACCATTCTTGAGTTATGTTATGGTATTTCATAATTCAGCTCAACAGATTCCAGAAACATGGCATCTGGTTCATCGATGATGAACGGGGACATCAGTCACCCACGGGGGTCTGGCCCGGGGAATCTGGGCAGTTTAGAAGAGACCCTCCAGCAAATGAACACTCTTATCAAAGAGAACAGAGAACTGAAGGGTGAGATTTCATTTCACTTTCAGCCATAATCACAATCCACAAACTCGCTCCATCACTCACAACAACCCAATGTCCTCATGTGTATCCCACAGAAGCCCTGAAACAAAGCAACTTGTCCATGAAGGAGAGATTTGAGGGTCTGTCAGCATGGAAGGAGAAGCAAAAGGAGGAGAGAGACTTCCTGGAGCAACGATTAGAGGATGCCAAAACCAGACTGAATGCTATGGATGTGGAGAACGAGGCGCTGAAGAAACCAGTGGAAGAGCTGGAAAAAAGTGGAGCTGAGGTGAGAAAATCATACCACACAGAAGTATATAATCAATTTAAAAAGACTTAAATGAAGTTAAATATTTGCCATAGTGTTTACACACCGAACTGGAGGCGCTGAGGGGTCAGATTGCTCGTCTTCAGGCTGAGAAGAATGACCTGGTAGCGTTGAACTCTGAACTCCAGCTCAAAATAGGTCAAGGTTCACCTCGAGACTCCTTCATTGAGATTAGAATAGCTGTAAGTATGCACGCGCACACACAATCGCAATGAAGCAACACTATGTTGCTCAATTTGTCACTCTCTGTGCTTTTTTCCATAGGAAGATGAGTTAAAAGTGACCAGAGATTTGCCCAATATGCCAAAGGACCCATGTGCTTTCAGCATGTAAGAACTGCAGAATTATGCATAAATTTGCAATGAATTGCAAATAAATTTGAAAATGCATATTTTCATTTGTTGTATGTAGTTATAGTTTGTGAGCTAGATCTGACAAAAACTCTGTCTGTGTCTTAAATTGGAAAACGGATTCAAATAGTTCCTTTAAGATGCAAAAATGTCCTTTATGGGTTAAAGTTAGGATGTGGGCGATGGTTATTCTATAGTAATTGTAGGAACACAATAGAAACCTATAATAGGTCCTCAATTTGATAACTAAGCAAATACGTGTGTGTACGCAGGCCAAAGGCTGAGTCGGAGGAACAGACGGTGAGGCAGCTGCTTCACTCCCTCAGAGCAGAGACTGATGAGAAGGAGAGACTGCAGCTAGCGCTTCACGAGGCACGTGGGAGGTAGGACAGAATTTCGCATACCCTCTTAGAGACACAACTTAAGGTGTTTGAGCTTCTTTTATTGTATGCACATATTGTGTATTTGCAGAATTGCCGAATTTGAGAACAGACTGGAACACGCTGACAGCAGCGCTCAGACATCTCTCCCCTGTACAACCGAAATCAATGTAGGATAATCAGACTTTTATAGCTATCCGTGTAGCATTTTTGAACTAGTTATTTGATCCAAACATCCATGTGACTGTGGTCTTGTCTGAAAGAAAGTGAAACAACTTTGAATTTACATTTACTATGAGGAAGCGACATTTTTTTCTATGTTTGTTTTCACCAGTCAAGCGCTGAGGTGAAGAATCTGGAGGATCAGTTGTTGAAGCTCTGTAATGAATTGAAACAGGCTCAGGTCAAACTGGACGAGGCTGAGAACATGAAAAGAAACTTGCAGGACAGGTCAGAAACACCAACAACCTATACACAGCCTTTTAAAAAAAATTTAAATAATATTTAAAAACTTTTTTTATACTGTATATGTATCATTATTATATTTTAAAATATAAAAATATATATATTTATTTGTATTATTACGTATTTTTCTAAATATTAAATGTGAAATTGCTTTCAAACTTGATTTAGTTCGTTCTGGTTTAAAATATCAGTTACTGAAGCTCTGTAATGAATTGAAACAGGCTCAGGTCAAACTGGACGAGGCTGAGAACATGAAAAGAAACTTGCAGGACAGGTCAGAAACACCAACAACCTATACACAGCCTTTTAAAAAAAATTTAAATAATATTTAAAAACTTTTTTTATACTGTATATGTATCATTATTATATTTTAAAATATAAAAATATATATATTTATTTGTATTATTACGTATTTTTCTAAATATTAAATGTGAAATTGCTTTCAAACTTGATTTAGTTCGTTCTGGAAATGAAAATCTAGTTTAAATATAAAAGGTCACCTAAAGTTTAATAGTCTGTTGTTATACGCAACAACACAATGGCGCCAGAAGTTTCTATTTATATATTAATTTAACCTAGAACTGTAGAGCACATTTTATAAGTAATACATACAGAAAACCAGATCTTTCTTTTGGGTGTACTATTGCTTTCTTTACAATGTTTACAATGTTTCCTAGCTCTCACATCTCCTGTTCTCTCTGCAGGTGTAAAGATCGGGAGCAGGATCTAGGTACTCTGAAAACTCAGCTTGGAGAGAAACAGAAGGTCCAGGCTGAGAACGACTCTCTGAGGGTTCAGATGGAAAGCCTTCAGGCTGCTGTTAAACTGGAACAGAAGAAAACTCAGGATGAGAAGTGAGTGCAACTTGTTACCCCCATCTGATGCCTAAAAAAAGGTGCATTTTTGAACAGTTGCATGGGGGAAATATAGACTCAACTCGGTTGCACATTGTGTTTATGATGTTTTCATAATAATCACATCTCCTGTTATCTTTCTTTGCCAGGAACAACCTGAACCAGCTGAAAGATGCCTATACCAAGCTGTTTGAAGACTACAATGAGCTCCAAGAGGAAAAAAAGAAGAGAGAGGTACAAATTCCCATTTACTTTAGAAAAATTCAGGCTAACATTTATTTTTTGTATTCGGCCAGACACTATTATTTAGGTACATCCGTGAACTACAAATATTCTCTTAATTTTTGAAGGAGTATTAAGCTTGCAGAATTTCTTTTTATATTTAAATACAGTTCGATTTAAGGCAGTTCATTTAGTATTTGGAGTACATTGGTGGTTCATCCTTCTTACGTACCTCATTGTGCATGATCAGAGTTGTGCATCACGGGAAGACTATGATGACCTCCAAACCAGGTTTGCTACGGCTGAAAAGGCACTGGCAGACAAACAGCAGAAGATCGATGAGATGAAGATGGAAATCTTCCAGAAGGAAAAGGAACTAGAAACCATTTCTGTTTTCCAGGCTCAGGTACGAACGATTGTATGGTGGCATGGCTGACTGGGCATCCTCCCACTTTTTTAAGGTCTTTCCGATCTGTATCATTACTTATTATGTGGGGGTTTTTTTGTTGTGTATACACATACAGGCAGAGATATATTCCTCGGATTTCTACGCAGAACGAGCAGCTCGGGAGAAGATTCACGAAGAGAAAGAGCGTTTGGCCACTCAACTGGAGTATGTGAAGAAACAGAACACCCAACTTCAGGACGAGATGGAGTCACTCGGCAGGTATGTCATAAACTTCAAACACTTACCTGCTCCCATGTGACCTCTGTGATACCGAAAAGGGAATTTTTTTATGCTACAGGCATTCCATGAGTGAGATGCAAAGGAGACATCCTCAAGGGCCACCATCTGCACATCAAGGAGGTAGAGGTCTTCCCTTAAAGAGTCCATATTGTACACTTTTGTACAACTGTACTTGTAACTGCATATCGGGATAACAATTAACATAGACCTCTTTATACCACAGGTGATTGGCAGCAGCAGAATATTCCAGAACACGCTTGTCCCAAATGTGGGGAAGTCCTACCTGATCTGGACTCCCTGCAGATCCACATCATGGATTGCATCATCTGAGCTTGTTGCCTAGTAACCATACCAGATCCCCCCATATGTGAACTAGCGGTTCGATAGCTTTAAGCAGCCTGAAACATAATGCTTCAATAACACAGGTCTATAAACCCTGTACATTATCAGTGTGGTTGGTTACAGTTTAATGGATGCTATTGGTCGAGGGTGAGAATCAGGATTTGATGTGTAGCTTTGGTTCTGACTGGTTGGATTTACTCTGAATACACCCTACATAACAGCAGCATTAATTTAAGCTGCTTTAAGACAATTTATCACTGTCAAATATTAAGAAAAAAATATAATCAGTGTGGCATACATAATTATCCTGTTGTGGGTGAATTATATTATTGGTAGCAAAAAAATTTTTGTTTAAAATTCGTGTTTCTGAAAGAACCGTTTATTTTAAAGACTTAAAAGAAATCTTAGTTATATTTTCATTATATTTTCAATGCCCCACATGATACAGACAGATAATGTTTTTCTTACTTTTACTTGTTGGATCTGTTATCTGTTAAAGCACTTTATTCTGTTCGATAAGCAAGGTTAGTAAGTTAGATTTGGGGCAAGTTTCTCTAAATATATATGTATGTTAAACCTGCCTAAATCTAATAAATACTTTTCTGAAGTTCATATTGTTTTCGAAACATGGGCTCTATTATTAATGTGCTCTCTTGAGGTTATGGGTAAATAACCATAAAGCATGTAGCATTAATCTTAAAAAGCATATTAAAGGACTAGTTCACCCCAAAAATGAAACTTTGTTGTCATTTACTCACCTTAATCATGTCGAAGTCGGTATGCCTTTCTCAGTGGAAGAAAAATGTAAGTTTTGAAGCACGTAATGGTCAATCGTGAGTGGATCATTTAAACCGATTCTGTGAACTGAAAGATTTGACTCGAACCATCCGTTCACTACATTGACGCGGGTCTCATGAACGCAGCAAATGTCGGTCTTTGCTCACAAATAACCACCATAAAACTATGATAACTACGATTTCATAAGACTTCGCATAATATTCTAATACCGACTAATTCTTATGGTGTTTTTTTTTTTTTTTAGCTTTATAGTAGGCCTACCACCTGTTAAAAAATATTAGCTGGTTTAAGCTGGAAGTAGCTGGTTTTAGCTGGTCTCTCAGGCTGGTCAAGCTGGTCTCCCAGCCTGACCAGGTTGACCAGCTAAAGAAATGGTCAAAAAAACAACAACTCTAAAACCAGCCTGCTGACCAGCTATGACAGCTTAGGCTGTTTTTTTTTGTTTTTTTTTGTTTTTTTAACTTTTTTTTTTAATTGAAATGCAAAAATTATATCTGAAGCTGAGGTGTGATGTAGTGTTAAAAATGCCTTACCTTGCTTGTATTTAGGTGTTGTGTGAATGTTTTTTGAGCTCCCTTTATAATGCAACAGTGCCAACGTAAAATTCTTTCATAGGCACTCAACAGGTGGTAAATCCCATGCTGTTAGCAGATTTGCTGAACTTTTTACACATAACATGTTGGCAAATTTACATTTGTCAAGTCAGCAAGAGTGTTGAAAAATTATTTAACAGTTCACAGTCCTGATAAAAGCAGGTTTTTCATAAGCAAAAAGCTTTTTTTTTTTCATCCAGTTTAATATTCTGAAACAGATTCATGTCTTTACGCAAACCCCAGTGCTTCAGTTGACTAATTTTAACATCATATTTAGAGCCATGATTTTTCTTACTGTATTTATTTGTGCTTTATTTGGGATCTTATTTACAACAACTGGACAGCTGGAATTTATTTTTTATTTTTTTGCCCAGCTGCTGAAACTGATGTGCTTTAATACATGAAAATGTGTCTTTCATATATATTTAGAAAAAAATAGACTGTTTGTCATATATAATTTACTTGGTCAGCATATGTATCTTTTTCTATTGCTGAGCTATGGACATTTGGGAAAGCACATGACAAACTGATATGGAACTGGTCCATCTCAAAGTCCAGTGTCTCCAATATGGAGAAGAGAGTCTTGCTCAAGAAATGGACACAGAGTTCCTGTGCAGAAGCAGAGTCTTTCCATAAAGCTTTTCTACTTTAAATACAACTGTGTCTGTATTTTAATACCTAAATACCTAAAGCCTTAATCTAATAAGTACCTTTATGAAATTCATATAAATATTTAAACCGTCTTGACACAAGACTGTAGGGAGTTGGTGCCCTCTTATGGTGCACTTTGTAAATAATCATAATTAATAAAGATAATGTCATTGAAGATAGAGCAACATTTTGAAGGCAAAATGTTGCTGTAATTCCAATAACATAATCACACTGAATTAAGTTTTATATATTTATTGAATGACTTTTATTAGTATTGTACTGCGTTCAACTTTTCGTCAGTAAACAGACTAAAAGCATTTTGTATTAATATAGATTTTTCTACAGTAAAGGAAGATCAATTGAATCTCTCCAAAGCACGTCAGAGTCCAAATTCGCTCACTTCATAGTGCACTCAGTTGCCGTGTGCTATTAGTGAACAAGTGAGCAATTTCAGAGACAGCCTTAAGAGGTGATGTGTGCAATTTCTGCATCTTTAGCGCCACCAAGCAGAATTAAACATGCAATGACAAACATCTGATCCCAGCCCAAACTCACGCCATCGGTACTGATGTAGATTTGGAATGCTCTGCCCTTAGTGTCAGGAACCACTGCTTTATACCATACGTCTTGTACTTCTGTAATTCTGTAAAATCTGCATATTGTGCACAGTATACATACATAATCTGTGTCTATAGGCCTACTGTGCACAATATGCAGATTTTCTGTATGCATGAAAACTGACGACCAGCTCATTGGCAAAATGTACAGAAAGAATACATACAGTACAAACTGTGTGGAATTCTGTATCCACCAACTGTATTCTTTAACCTTTTAAATCTAGGGTGATGATTGAACTGAAGTAACGGTTTAATACACTTGAATTACATTTTTATTTCTAAAATGCTTATTTCAATATTTGTGTGTATTAAATCATTATAACTGAACATGTGTTCTTTCTGACGGCCATGGCAGTGTTTGATCATCTTGGGCTGGTGTCTCTGGTTGTGCTGATGCTGGTGTCTCAGCTGGACTTCACTGGTGCTGCCGTTCCGGTGTGTAGTTTACGAGCCAGTAACCTCCCTGGTGATGCTTTGGGAAACAAACCCGATCCATACGTTAAGGTCTGGTGTGGCTCTACTTATGTGGGCAGACAGAATATCACCAGGGTCAGGGTTGCAGAGTTCAACTTCCCCAACTGCAAAGCCAGTGAAAACCTGAAGCTGGAGGTGTGTGACAGAGATATGTATTCTGTGATCGCTTGGGAATGTGTACCACAAAGGTGCAACAAGGCTCTTAGAGTGTTACATATAGTCTGCACAGAGGAACCATGTATTACAACTACAGATTGAGTTGAAATAAATTTGTTCCAATCAATCAGCACTTTGAAAATCTGCTTTGAGACAAATTCTCTTAGATCATCTTTTGCAGACTTACTGACTGTTCCAAACTGATTTTTTGCTGGATTCTATTTACCAGTTTAAAGGGGTCATATGATGCGATTTCAAGTTTTCCTTTCTCTTTGGAGTGTTACAAGCTGATTGTGCATAGATAAGATCCCTGAAGTTGCAAAGACTAAAGTCTCAAAACCAAGGCCAATCCCAATGCACTGGGTCAGCTGGCCAATCAGAGCAGACTGCGCTTGTCGGAAGGAGGGACTTTGTAGAAAATTAAGCGTTTGAGAGAGGCGGGGCATAGAGGACCTACAATAATTTGAAGTATTTGAAAAATAATGTGTTTTTTGAACATTAAAGCATGTCAACATATTCTGTTACACCAAATAAGGATCTTTAAAAAAGCATCATATGACCTCTTTAAAACTCTGATTAAAACTTGTTTGTTTAGAATAGCTTTTAGTGATTTGATTGTTTGTTTTGTATTGAATAATTTTACTCCAGACTGCTTTCTGAACGAGAAACAATTCAAGGCAGGTTTTGCTAAAAAGTTAGAACTCGAGGATGGATCAGTACCCTCTGTTTGTGATCCAGCTGCACCTCCAGAAGTAGTAAGTCCCACACTTTAGATTTCTTGTGATTATTTGCAAATCGCCTCTTCCACAGAACAGAGGGGCGGGGGGAGCAGAGCTCATTAGCATTTAAAGAGACATGCACCGAAACGGGGCGCTGTGAACAAAGCTGTTTTTGACAAGGTAAAAAGGGTGTTGTTTTACACGACCACTGTGGAATTTTAACCAAAGTATGTTGCAGAAATTTCATGAAGACCCTAAAGAATCATACCAACTTGTGTAAAATGGGCATCCGATGTCCCCTTTACGTTTCTGTGTTGGCCTGTTTACATTTTTTAAGCTGCCAAGAGTGTATAAAATGCTATCCCCAGAAATCATAGAAGCAGTGCATTAAAATAATGTAATTATATCCTGAGAGACAACAAAAGCAGAAAACACTGGGGCATACAGTCCCAGTGTTTGAAAAAATAATAATGAAAAAATTTGAGTTTTTAAAAATGTAGTTTATAAAACATACCAAATTCTTAGAAATTTTCTATTTATGTTCATGTAGGTTTCCACCAGAAATGATTTTTTTTTTACCTTTATACCATTTTCAAGAAAAGTGTAAGAATCATGCGGGGCAACCATCTAAAAAATATTATTCTCAAAAATATTTTATACAATTTTTAAGTTAAAAATTTTATAAAGAATGTACTGCCAATGCCTTTTCAAAAAAGTTTAAATGACTGGCTAATTTAGGATGACATATTGCATGTTGGTTGGACCACATAATAAGCCTTTTGAATATTACTAAGCAGTGAAGAAATTTTGTTGAAATAAGTATTCATACATATCTGTGGTAAGTTTCTGTGTTGGCCTGTTTACATGTCAATAATAAATATTTACTTGGCCATGTGGGTTTGTTTGTGACAATCTGAATGCATGTCAAAAAGATGTTCCATATGAACTCAAATTGACTCATTGCTGGTCTGACTCAGAATCCAATATGTCACTAGTATGAAGATCAGTCAAGACACATAATGCACGTACACATTTAGGAGGACAGGGCAGAGTGCACATGCACACGTGGAAGGACAGAGTGCGTGTCACTCACTTTCAAATAGGATCACAACCAGATGAAGATTTAGTTAAATGCACTTTAGTATCATTAAATCTCATCAGCTCTATTGCTCTGAACTGCATTATAAGGAATCCAGCATCCATTGAGAATTGAGAAGCAGAGGCAAGCTTAATTTATTTAAATGACTTTTATTAAGTTTACAAATAGGGTAACAAATGCTGTTTTATTGGAGCGCAAAGCGCAGTTTTATATGAAGCTAGAACATCCTATACTTAGTGCAAAACATACAGTTAAACATTGCCGATGATTCCCTACATGTTTTTGTTTGGTTTTCATTTTAAGTAACTCTTTTAACATTTTGTACACTGTTAAATATCATACGGAGAAAAAAAAAACACTGAATGAAAGTCGCCAGAGGAACTCTAGAAACTCAAAAGACAGCAAAACAAGCGGATCAGATAGCAGTACAAAACAAAATAACTTAATGACAGGTCAGTAGCATTAAGTAAACATTGTTCTGTTGTATTTCTTTCCACAGGAGAGCGACTAGAAAGGAAGGTTTCATTCAATAAGATACTTTTTGAGTGAGTTTGTGTGCATTTATTTTCTCTGTAACTAGTCTCATGCAAAAAAAAAAAAAAAAAAATTTTTTTCATCAAACTGAATGTCTATCGATACTGAATGGCTCGTTCGCACATCAGCACGCTACAAACGCATAAAAAAAAAAACTTTTTTTTTTTTTTACATTTTCCAAGGTGCTGTATCATTTACATCAGAGGTCAGAGGTAAATCTCATTTTGTTGTACATCCTGCACTGCAGTTACATAAGTGCCCTCTACAGTCAAACAGGGGGACCTGTTTCTTACAGCGAGAGCAAATTAACACTTGCATCATATCTGGAACAGGGACATGGCACTCAGAAGGTAGTATTACACAGATTTCATTAGCCTGAACACTGAGCAGGTTGGACCTCTTTGTTAAAGACCTTCTGATGTGTTCACAGTTTGAACGAACCAAATGACAAAGTGGGTAAAAATGAGCTGTCTACAGGTAAAGCGTTGCGTACAAAGCAAGAGATAAAGGTAAAACGATCGTATTTTAAATATAGAGAGCCAGTTGAGAATCTAAACTGTACAGTTGACCTAAAGTGAAGTTCCTGTACCAGACGTTTCACACAGACGACACACTAAGCAGTATGTAACGAGCTGTAATCTACACCCTTTCAGTAGTTAATTTGATGAGCATCTCCACTATGCTTTTGTACCCCAAATAAAATGCTCTAAGAATCTGTACATTAGTTTCTGGTGGATCAGGACTGTTCTCAATTCATCTGCACAGCTTAATGTGCTGAACATGACACTAAAAGTTAGTTTGACACTGCAGGTCTAGTATTTTGAATAAACTAAATCATTTACAAGAGTGATTTGACTGACTGCTACAAAAAGAGAGAGTTGAGATCCCCCAAAATGAAGCTACTGATCTGCCATAAAACCAAAGGCCGTTGCCAGTACAGTGACTTGAGAACTTACATGGGCAGTGAGAGTTCAAAAGAAGCGGATTGATGAGAAACCAGCGAGAATTAGTCTTCGACAGTGCTGTTTTGGCAGAGAGTGGCGTTCTTGTGTAGGTGAAGGTTGCTAACTGTCTTTTCCCACATTTCTGGTCCTTTTCTCGCTCATGAAGTTACACATTCCATCGCATCTGTTGCTAAAACGTGTCTCTCTTCGCACACCGGAGAGGGTTTGACACTGGATGGTATCAAAACCGATCAAGCAGTGCTAGAAAAACATCTAAGCTATTGGTGGTTTTGAAGTACTTACAACATACTGTCCCATGCTTACTAACTTTCCTCGTCCTGCGTTTCTATCTGAGCCGATCCTTCACCTTCACAAGAACCGTTCACACCTTTTGAGAATCCATCTGGAAAACAAAGACTGGTTGTCAATAGCATTTTAAATGACTCATCTACGCTAGAAAGGGTGCACTGATGATAGGCACACTTACACTTGCATACTAAAGTAGATTGATGAAGTATCTAAAACGCAACCCTCAAGCACTTCCACAGCCTTTGAATGTGATATAATGGCTGGATTGTGTGTTTGCACACAGTATATATGAACCTTTCGACTTTCCCAAAAGACTAGGACTGTGCCATCAAATGGTTTCAGTCGTAGCCAATTCAAAACGGCATCCAAAACAGCACCTCATTTCTGCAGTATATTAATGTTCACCCTCTGTGAAGTCCAAAGACCAGCACTCCAACCAAGTGCAACGCTTGAGACTCTCCGTTGCCTTACATATCAAACCCCGACTCCAAAAAACAAAAACAAAAATAACGCAAGGCACTAGAATCTTCAGAAAGCTCACTGGGCGTAGGGAAAGAGGGACAAATTGGTTTCTTCAAGTACATTAATTGAATCCATTTTACATTCACATTTATCTAATAATATAAAGAAAGTACAAAGGGGAAAAAAGTTAAAGTGTCTCCAATAAGATGTGAATAATGAAATAGCTAGCCTTACATCTCACGAACGCTAATATCCAAACCCCTCCAAAATTTCATGTTTTTTTTTTGTCTACTTTTCTTATCTAATGTTGTCCAACAACATTTGTAATAATCACAGTGTTTCAACATCAATAACTGATGAGTAAATACAGGTCCATACAGAACACGACTTATTTGAATGTCTCGATCAAACTATGGTAAGAGGCCCCCCCTAATGCTGCCATGATCAGAAAAAGCTGATCATTAGCCATAGATTTAAAGCTTCACAGGTCTCCAAGGCGACAAATCCCGTGACCCCCAGCTTCGTATCCAAACCCCAATCCAACTGATTTTATCCACCATTTTACACGTCACCTTGTGGTGTGGCCTGATGAGAAAACCGGAAGAGGACGGTAAGAGAGTGAATAAGCTGGGATGCTGGGATGCTTGTAGAAGCTTTGTAGTACAAACCTCGGGGGGCAGCTGAAAGGCCTCTGAACATGACAAAAAAATAACTGTCCCTACCATTCTGCTACACAAGGCCAGCTTGAAGGGCATAGGGAAGAAAAACCAACTAACCAACCAAACCAAATGAATGAAATCAAAACCCTCATAACCCAATTTAAAAACAAAGGATATCTGTACATGGATTTTGTCATTTTATCTAATGAAGGCCACTTCCTGTGTTTTAAAATGGGCTTTTTTCTACCATTGTAATTATTGCATTATTCCATGGCATTGCAGCAGAGGGTTTAGGGCAAGAGGGGAACAAGGACACTAGGTTTGACTCTTCGCTGCTCACCGTCACCCACCCGACTTCCGTTTGTTGACATGCTTGATGTATGAATTTATCAGGAGGACATACAGATGGATGGATGCCAGTGGCATCTATTCCATTTTAGGTCAGCAAATCTCGAACCCCTTGACAAATGTTTGGGGCTGGGTGGTGAAGGATGCCATCACTACACATCTTAACAATAAAAATGGTCACACCTTCTTTGGCCACGTAACATTGCACACAAGTGTCCGTTGTTTTATTTTCATCTTCTCTTATTCTTTGCATCGTTGTGCATCATCCCCGTGGCATATCTGTGAGCATGCAGGAGGATTCTGGCATCTTCTTCCTCAACCATCCCAAAGGAAACTCTTGTGACAGAATCTCTGCAATGCAATCAAACGCTTGCCCAATCCGCCCCCCTTCCTTCCCCCAATTCGAGAGTTATTTAGGCCTGGCACGGCTAGGCCCTGCCCTACGTGGTCTTCAGGTTGGGTCCACCCGGGTGGCTGACTGACCTTTGCAAAGTGCTGATGTGGAAGGTCTGTAAAGGGGTCGGAACCTGGGGATACTGTCCCAGGGGTTGTGAGGTGGCCAGCAGACCGGCCTGGGTGTGCGTGGCCGAACCAGCCCACTGGGCGCTGTAAGGTGCGGAGGGGTAGCCGTACTGTGGCGTGGGACACAAGGAGCCCTTCAGGGCCCCCAGAGAGGTAGCGGGAGTTTTGGGCATGGGCGGGTGGCTGCTCAGAGTTGAAGCGATGCTTGGGCACAGCTGGCCTGGAGCCGAGTACTTACGGCCCATATTGGTAGGAGGAACCATCTGAGAAGAGGAGAAAGGAAAAACATTTATTTAGAGCAGGGATTCTCCACTCTGGCCTTCCAGGTCCCCTTTTCTGTAGAGCTCTTTTTTTTTTTTTTTTTTTAGCTCTAACCTTGATCAAAATCTCCTGCCTGTAACCTTCAAGTAAACCTTGATTAGCTTGTTCAGATGTGTTGGATTAGGATCGGAGCTAAACTCTGCAGGAAAGTGGACCTTGAAGGGCCTGAGAGTTGTGAACTCCTGATTTAGATGCTCTGTTTCAACTGTGATTTTCTCCAGAACAAAGTCTTACTTCGTAGCAGTGGCCCTGAGGAGTCACTTGTTGTTGGTGCTTGGAGCCTCTCTTGCCCTGCGACAGGGTCATAGCGTCCCTGGCCCAGTTGTCCACCAATTTGTGCAGCTCGTCTGTGAACATTCCCTTGCAGCTCTGGGACTGAGAGACGGGCGGCTGGTATTGATTCTGACCGTTTCCAGCCACCGTGTTGGTGCTGCTCGTCCCTGAGCGAAGAGAAAGAGAGGAAGAGAGGAAGAGAGAAGATGATCGTAAAAAGGAAGTCAGTTCAAAACACGTCACACTGAAACAGCTGATACAATCTGAAGCCACACAGACTATATTAATGTGTGTATTTTTTCATATACAGTTTCCCACGTTAGATTACATACGCCTTATATAATCTGCAAAATGTTTGATTTAAAAAATAAGAGAGATTTTTTTTATTTAGTTCTGCCCTGGTTTGACCTGATTCTGATTTTTTTTTTTTATGTAAACAGATTTTACATGACATATGAGAATCAAAAGTATGATTATTTAAATTGCTATTGATATTAAAAGTATGATATTAAAATCAAAATTTAACCTGGAAATAAACAAAGGTTGAGTTAAATCAACAAAAGCTAATTAAAATAAATAAATAGAGCTGCTGTCAGTAAAAGCAAGAGATTTAAAATACTCAGAGCAATATATTGAGAACTAAATGATTTGAAAATTAACAATTATTCAATTTTAGCTGTTATTTTGACTTATGATTATATTAAAATATCTGTTATGCAGGATCTTCAGGACAATACTAAATAAAAAAAGCTTTTTAATTTTAATCTCCTCTATTTGAATAAATGCAAAACATATCACAGATTATACAAAGGGTATGTAAACTTTAGAGCACAACTGTATAATATAATGATATGTGTATACAAAAAAGTCATGGCAGTGAGGCCCTATCGAGCACCTGGGCATCTGCTCTGATGCTAAAGTGACGCTTTTATCACTCTGACTCCAGTCTGCAAAACAGGTCACGAAGACAGTATTAAAACACCATCTCTGGTGCTTCACATCTACCTGGGCTTCATTATCATGCTTGCCATGGCTGTTTTCATTGCAACACAAGAGGGAGCAAAAGGGTGGTGAAATGGAAATGGATTCACCATGAGCTCCAGTATTAGATTAAATGGAACTGCAATGTCTCAAAATTCATGGAGGCTAATAAAATGAAACTTTCAACAGCTACTATTTAGAAGTGTAATTAGATAGTTGATTAGTACCATTAGCTAAACTAGGACACATCTTGATAGCACATTAATATTAGCAGGAAGTATGAGAAAATAAGCCTCTTTATGAAACACAAAGCATTGCAGTGAGGATTATGTGGTACTTTTTTTTTTTTTAACAAAAAAGCTCTGTTTACTGAGCAGTTAATGTGAAGCAAGATTAAAAATTTGCAAAATGAGTGGAAATGCCTCAGCTCCTCTGTAAGACACATCACTGTCATGACTAAGAGATAACTTTCTTTAAACATGCACTGACATAAGCTGATTGGTCATTTTATTTACACATATCTGTCGAGGAACAAAGAGCTGATGCATTTGAAAAATATACTGCAAGTCAAAAATAAAGCTGATGGGGGAAAACAGTTATTTTCTAAATCAAATCTTACATGGTTAAATACAAATGGCACAAATATCTTGCCAACTATCCAGGCAGCCACAGATAAGACCTGTTAGGATGGTAAACACAGCCCCTCCAGAATGCAGCAACAAAAAAACGACACGTTGCGCCAAGACTGAAGCACCAAAAGGAATTCTGGCCAATGTAGTCCAGAGTAAGCCATGCTTTGAAAGATAGCTACTCCTTTTCCACCATGCTGGTACTGGTGGCCAATTTGGGAGAATTTGCTAATTCTAAACATTTCCATTGAAGGCAAAGTGGTTTATACATGTAGTGGTTTATAGATAGATAAAATTGATCAAAAGTGACCATTTAAATATTTATGTTACAAAAGATTTCTATTTCAAATGCTGTTCTATATATTTTTTGCTTTATTTTAATTAAAATTAAGCAAACTCGTTCTCAATTTTAAGGACTGTAATGCAAAAAGTCTCATTGTCAATATAATAATGTGTAAAAAAAATTTATTTTAAATTTGAATTATTTATATTATAGTGACTAAAGTATTTATGCATTATGGTAGAATTTGTTCTAAATTTAGTTTTCATCTTATTAATTAAACACTAATTTACATTTAATCATAAATCTAAAAACGTGTCCAGAAAGAATGATTCGATTTGTTGTTTTTTTAATAGAGAAATTAATACTTTTTTTTTTTTTTTTGCATGGACACTTTGTTCTAAATTTAGTTTTCATCTTATTAATTAAACACTAATTTACATTTAATCATAAATCTAAAAACGTGTCCAGAAAGAATGATTCGATTTTTTGTTTTTTTAATAGAGAAATTAATACTTTTTTTTTTTTTTTTTGCATGGACACATTAAATTGATCAAAAGAGACAGTTTAAGATTTTTACAGTATTTAAAGTAAATGCTGTTCTTTTGAACTGTCTATTAATCAAATAATCTGAAACTATTTTCAGTGTTTCACAAAAATATTAAGCAGAACAACCATTTTCAATAATAATTATAAGAAGAAATGATTCTTCTGCAGCAAATCAGCGTATTACAATGATTTGTGAAGGATCATGTGACACTGAAGACTGGAGTAATGATGCTGAAAATTCCGCTTTGATCACAGGAATAAAATAGATTTCAAAATAAATTAAAACAGAATAGTTATTTTAAATTGTAATAATGTTTCACAATAATACTGTATTTCTAATCAAATATATGCAGCCTGGGCGAGCATAAGATACTTCTTTTAATCATTAAATATTGTTTATGTTACAATATATATCATAAAATCGGAATATAGATTTGGCAAAAAATAAAAAATAAAAATGTTTCACCAGCCAAGCAACAGCACCACCTGGTGGAAAAAGGGTAAGGGAGAGGTGGAGACTCCACACACAGCTTGACTTCAGCATTTACCGGATGACTTCCATTCACTTTGTTCAATACTGGAGGAACCCCAAATCCTCTCTGTGAAAACCTACCTTTCTGTGTGCAAAATGTGAGCTGTATTCCCTCAATACGTTGACTTGTGCATTGGACTCCATCCAAACAGGATGAGGTCGATGTGCAGTTAAGCGGGATGAGTCTTAAGGGGATAAAGGAAGAGTGCAGAAGGGAGTCTGGGGCTTCAAATTGGCTTGTGCATAATGGGATGAGTGCACAGACGGGTCCATTTAGAGTGCATTAGTCAGTCTGCTGCTGAGTGTGGCGTTTATCTAGAGTGATTTCTGGTTCGGTTTCAAATTTAGGATAGTGTGTTTGTGTGAGTTTAATTTGAGAGTGAAAACATACGTGACGTGCCACACTTATAAACATATGAATGGGTCATCACCGGAAAGAATGCTCAAGTCAGCCTGAGAGCTTAGCGGGAAAACAAGCTTCAACAGGCCACAGGACATGAAGCGAGAGGTGACGACAGGAAAGAGAGGGAAGGAGGTGTGGGAGGATGTAAAAAAGAGAGATAATTACTACAAAGTTGGTTGCAGGGGCACACTTTTTTCACCATCTTCCCTGAAGCATGGAGAGAACGGTGGGATTGGAGAGAATCAGTGTTACAGTAACTCCACGTCCAACACAGTGCATTATGGGAGTGTGTCAGAACATGCTAGTCTAAAACCTGAATTCAAGCCCTGATGGCTATTGATACTCAGTGAAGGCAGGGTGAGCGGGTTGTGACTATTGGGTCTGTGGCCAAAGCCAGTGATCATTTGTATTAACATTGTGAGGCAGCTAAAAAATATGTGAGATGATGTGTGAAAGTACTGTACCTGCACTGAGGGACGTGAAATCTTTTTTTATTTTAATAAAAGAAAGAAGGACTAAGGAAAAACTCATCAGATTTAAGACAGATGCAGTGACTTGCCAAGTTTGGAGAAATATTAGTCACTGTGTCAGCTGTTTTCAGTTCACTCCTTTCAAGAGATTTAATTATAAAAATGTGTGTAAATTACTACGTAAATAATACGAGTAAATGAGAATAGTAAGTTGCAGGTTCACACTGCATGTGTCAGAAAAGGAACCGCCAATCAATACTGCAAAAACATTATATGATAATACTATATGGCTAACAATTTACAATAAAGTAACATTAGTATTTGCATTACAGTAGGCATCATGAACTAACAAACTAACAATCTTATTGTAAACTATTAAACATTGTAAAGTTTTGGTAATTGACAAAATAAAATATAAAACTTAAATATTAAATTAATATAAAAATATTAAACTTAAAAAACAAACAGAAATTTGAAATGTTGCCTTGGCAACTAACTGAAGATGAAGTAGTAAGATTACTTACACTGAAAAAAGGGAAATTATATAATTATATATCACATTATATTATTATATATTATAACTATAAATTAAATATTTAATATATTAAAAATAAAAAAATAATAAAAATGACAACATACAATTATTAAAACTAATTAAAATGAAAACTAAAAAAATAATTAAAAGTATTAATACATATTTTAATAGTATATATATATATATA